GACCAAGTCGAGATTCTCCTCAACAACGCGCAGATCGCTCTCGAGACCAAGTCGTCGCCGGCGCTCGTGGCCGTGCAGACAGCCACCGCGGCGCTGCGCCAGGATATCGAAGCACTCATCATGGACAGTCGCACGCGACATGCCTAGTCGTCTGGGGTCTGCGACTTTGCCTATTGATATTTTTAGTGTCCAACTCGACATGACGATTCTCGCAAGGGTCCTCCACCTCTCTTTTCCGCCCATCTACACTATACGAACGCGTTCCGCGCTAGCTTCATTATGACGATGATTTCACAAACTAAAGTGCGACGGAGTCGGCACCAGCACTTGGTCGTTGGGAGTGAGCTGCGCACGGAGAGGTCCATCCCGCGGTGGACCCCACTCGCGAAGGGCTAGCTCGCGCGAGGTTGTACGCAGGCTCCTGTACTCGGACCACCGGACAGAGGAGAGTGTGTGTTTCAAACGACTGCATATACACTACATCATCAAAAGGTCTCTCCGGAAACAGAGGTTCCAGAAGGCCAGTACTAGTAAACACTTGAAGCACACTTGCTGTCCGCTCCCTTTCCGACTCGCACCGTCAACATGTTGGTGAAAGTCCATGGGCGTGCTCCTGCGTGCTTCAACAAACACATGCTCGATCCATACCAAATGATGTGTCGTCTGTATTTCATGTCGCCGTACAAAATGACAGCTCGGGAAGGGTCCGATGCGCGGCGGCGTCGTCGAGGCTGTCGTCGCTGCCGTTAGTTTGCGCCGACTGGCGGAGCGGGGCTGGGCGGCGGAAGCAAGTGCAGTCGTGTCGGGCTACGTGGTCGGGCACTCGGGCGTGATGGCTGGCATCACGCGAATGCCGTTGGTCGACTCGGATGCGCGAAATGTGAACGTCGTCGGTTGGCGCCCGACGTGTTTGCTGTTCTTGCCCGGAGTCGAGAGCGGCAAGTCCGACGACGTGCGGAGCGACTCCGTCGCTGGGTTGGTAACTACAAATGTCACGGGTTGGCTCGTGGGCTTCGTCTTCGGGCGCCCGTCAATGCTCAGGACCCGTTGCTGGTCCGTAGGAGCTGGTGGCGTGGGTGGCATCGTCGTGGAAGCTTCGGTCAAGGCTTGCATCCGATCCACCAGTGGGGTTGGAAGATGCCAGCCTGCGACCCCGTTCGTGGTCACCGCTGGGTACGTCGGGTGGGACACGGTCGTGTACGGGGCATCAATGGTTTCGATCGGCGTGGACGCGGCGGCAGGGTTGCCCATGCCTGGTCTTGGAGCTACGGCGATTGGCTGGGGTTGCGCCACTGACGGTGCGTACGGCTGTCCATAGGGCGAGTGCGTCATCGATGGTGCACCCCCTCTGCATGGCATTTGCTCGGCAAGAACGTAGCGCAGCTTTTGGACTTCGCGGACGACCGCGCTTGTCTCGGCCGGCAAGGCCGCAATGCACTGCACGGCGAGGTCCAAGATGTGACTGGGATAGGCGGCCACGACGGTCTTGGTCAATAGCGGCTGCAACGCCTGGATCGCCGTCGTCAACGACTCCTTCACGTTCCCGTCGTTGATCGGCGGCATGGCTGCCGGTATGTTGTAGTAGCTATGATGCGCCCCGCCGAGGGGCGGCATGCTGCGTGCCGCCATGAAGCAGTTATCTGGCGCCACAGCGTAAGTCGGCATCATCCCCGCCGCATTTCTATCACGAGACTGTCGTGAGCAAGCGATCTCTTTCATACGCCGTACGGCTGCAGCTTTTTCTGGCCCATGGTGACCTCGGCCATGAAACTCAGAGCATTGGTCCCGTGCGAGTCCGCCCTATCTCGGCACATGAGGTATCCCGGGAATTGTAGAAAGGTGTGTACGTGCGCCCGCTCTTGGGGGCGAGGTGGTTCTTGTACCGGTACTCGCACTGCTTGGCACTACGTACGCACAACGTCCATCACATCGGCAACACACAAAAGGCCAGCGTACGTTCGGCTGGGAATTCGCTCGGCTACCATCGTCCAGCGCCGCCACGTCACGTTCTTGGTGGCCTCCACCGCCATACGAAGCGCATTGTCTTCGGTGCTGGTCCATGTCCCTTCCTTGCGCCCTTCTTTGGTTGAGTCTTCCCATCGCTGCCGACATTGCGCATCGTTACGGCCGGGCACGTTGGCCGCAATGGCCTACATGCGCGACTCAACGACGCTAATCGTCATGGGCGACGGGCGCACCTTCCACTTGCCACGGCCGACGCCGCCCGGGTGCGTGGCTTCAAACTCGGTGACCGCATTCTTGAGCGCCTCGACCTACGAGAGCATGAGCAACGCCGTGGCATGCTGGCAAGGCCATGAACCTGCTCCTTGGTCCATGCGGTGCGCTCGCCCTTCTTCTTGGGCGCCGTCGGCGACGCTGGCGAGTACGACGCTGTGCTCATGCTGTGGCTACCGACGAATTATCAATGTATTAATTTTAATACAAAAACCCACCGAGTCTATCAGTTCTTAGTATCAGTTCGTCAAGCGCACGAAAATTATTAAGTCCTTTTCCGCGTCCACATACAAACAGCGTGGTATTTTAAAAACGTCAGCGGATATATATATATATGCTCGCCACATCTATTCCACGAGCCGTACCTTCCGGATATGCTTGTCGTATCCGGACTTCCCGATACTTCAGCGCAAACCAGCCAGACGGCAGCCAATCCCCGTCACTCAAAACTGCTGGCAAGTTGACATTTTGCTGCCCATCACGATCGTAAAGTTCCGCAGAGTCGACTCGAGCGTGAACGCCCTTGGGACGTTGCCTCTCGTGCAAGGAACAAGAGCGAGGACATGGTATCGAGCTAGCCCTGGAACGACAGCGCGGTAGATCGTTCAAGGACTGCCACTCTTGCAAAAAAGCCGCCGCCAACGGGCTGATAAACAGCTCTCATTGGATAAAATGGCCGCCAAGATGCAAGGCCATTGGCTATTGGATTGCATTTGTAACGCTCCTCTCCAATTGATACAAATACGTGGCGAGTGCGACGCCCAGCGGACCAAAAGCATGATGACGTTGGCGGAACTTGGTTTTTGGTGGCAAAAATGTGCTTTGTCTGGAACATCTATTCAAGTTTGCTACATAGTCCATGGAGGCGTCGGACGATAGTGTCCTTGGCTGCTGTGACTAGCTTGTTTTATCGCTTCTACTCGATCGAGGCGTACCGCTCTGCGGTCACGTAACTGGATGGCAACTACTGACAGTGCCACTGGCCCATGCGTCGTACTTGGTCTGTGGCGCTCTTCGGCGCCACATTTCTCACCGGACGGCCGTGGCGGCTGGGGTCGTTGATAAAGCTCCTTGTCTCGAGCTGTCGAGACATGAGCGGCAACGATGGTCTACTGCACGCCATGGGTTGATGCAGCAGACCAGCACGCAGATCGTGCAGTCCCATCATAACAGCAGTGTTATCCTCGACCGGAAGCGCCGCCACGCATTGAATCGCAAGGTCCAGCACCTGGTGCGCACACGAGGCGACCGTCGTCTTTGTCAAAAGCGGCTGCAACGTCCAGATTTCCGCCGTCAGATTGTTTCTCGCATCGGTGCTCTCGAGGAAGGGCAGCGGTAGCATACCACTGCATGGGTAGCGCAAGGCGGGGACGAGCGGTCGCATGCCTTGTGGCGAAAGGTGGTGCAAACTATCAAGTAGTGTGACATGAGTGATCACGACTTGTGTGTTTTGATGGAAGACATGTCATCATCACGGGAGTCATGTCTTCCGTCAAAAAATCGATATCGAACGAGGCGCACCTTGGGAGCTGTGGCGTCGTTGGCTGATCTTGGTGTGTCATGGTGCGAAGACCAGTTAGCGCCCTAGTACAGTTCACCGTACTTCAGTACACACGCTTTTGGGGATCGAAGACCGTACGAGAGAGGTGCAGCCTTGGCCGCAAGGTGGTTCTTGTACCGGTATTCGCACTGCTTGGCACTAGAAGAGGGTGAGATAAACAGTTATGCCACTTCATCAGAACGCACGAGCGATGCGGAATGGCTTCGGCCACCATCGTCCAGCGGCGCCACCTCACGTGTTTGGCTCTCTCGACGGCTGCCAGTAGTGCGGCGTCCTCAATTTTGCTCCAAGGACCTTCTTTACGACCCGGTTTGGCCGAGTCTTCCCAGCGCTGTCGGCACTGCGCGTCGTTCCGGCCGGGTACCTGGGCAGCAATCGCCTACGAAGTTGATGTGACGACTGGTCCTAGGTAGCGTGGTTGCTGAACCTTCCACTTGCCGCGACCTGCGCTGTCTGCGTACTCGGCGACGGCCACTTTAAGTGCTTGGATCTGGATGTGACGTGTGATGTGTGAGGTATGGACTGGACACGAGAACGTCCTACCTGCTCTTTGGTCCACGCAGTGCGCGTGTTCTTTTTAACGTTACGAGGCGAAGACGGTCTGGGCATGGCAAGTCCAATTGAAAAATGAGTTAACGACTTGGTGCAACTGCAAATTTCAACGGTTCCGCGCTTGATACAAATCGACAAGAAGACTGTTCTCATCATATTTTCAGTCGAGCAACTGGTTTAGGCACTGGTTTAGGTGAATCCGGGTTCGGGCCGCGGAGAGAGTCCCACTTTCTTATTCAAATTTCTAGTATGAATTGAAAGTATTCGCGTACCGCACCCGTTGCAGACCATGCCTCGTTCTCGTCCCGCCATACCTCTACTTGCTGGACTTGCTGGACTTGTTGGAGGATGACCTGCGACGCCCACATTGACCGCTTGCACTAAAACAATTCGGCTATGTTATTACCCTTCCCCCAGCAACGATTCGACTACCGGTACCGGTATACCTGCTTTCCCATCTCCTGGCCTCCCCTGGTCCGCCAACTTTTTCGAATCGTCTCAGCACTACAAGCACACATACTGTAATACCATGGTCGTGCGTCGCTCCCCACAATTCAAGTCGATGGCACTTGAAAGCGACATGGTCAATTTCCTGTTTGAGCTCCATCAAGATCACATACTACGGAAAACAAAACAGAGCGATGTATACTTGCATCAGACATATTGTATTGCAATGCCAACCTTTGCTTTACACGGTGGTTAGGAAGAGATTGCCAGCCTTGATGGCCGCCGCCCCAAACGTCGCGTCCATCTGAAAGCGGCACTGCCGGTCACGGCACACGGCCACTGCGAGTGGCATGAGACAGTGCATCGATGTCCACCCAAGACATTCGGCATCCGACGAGCAAGCCACCGTCGCTTGCTCAAACTCGCACCATCGGTTGGCGGCCGCCTCGAGTTGTACGACTTGAACGTCTGCGACGTTGGTCGTGCACGATTCAAACTGCGGTAGTCCCGCCCACGCGTTCGGGAACCAGAGGTTCAGTGTGAGCGCCGACGGATTCGTTGTCACGGGAAGACGGCGCGTTTTGCCGACGAGTTGGCCGTCGCGGTACAAGTTTGCGCGCCCCTCGGTCGCGTTAAACTGAAGAAACACGCGATGGTACGCGGTGTCGGTTCGGAGATGCGAAAAGACAGCATGTGGGAACGGTGGGGGCGACCGTTCTTGGCCCAAGCTCGCGCGCCAGAGGTCCGCGTACGCCACGTATGACGCGTCGACGTCGACAACGATGTCGCTTACGTTGCGCAACCACGCGTCCGAGCTCGTGCCAAACGCCGTGCACGGTTGCACGAGAAAGCTCGCGACTATCCATACATCATCCATTTGTATCAAGTTGAAACAATCCAAGAATATCAAGTCGACGTACTGCCGGCATTCCATTGCGCAGTTGTCGAGACGCTGGCGCCAACTCGCTTGGACGCGCAGGGTTCAACCCGAGGGTTGCATGGAAAGAAGGGTGGCGAGCCCGGCAAGGCCCACCCGCTGAAAAGCGCCGTTGCCAGTCGTGGCACGACTAGTTTATCCACACCAGATGAGACCCCTCTGGTTCGTCGCACACGAAAAGGGCGTACCAGATCCGTTGGCTGCAACGGTGACACCCTCGGGACTTGTCCCTGTGTACGCATCGCCATGGGCTGAGAGCACGAGCACGGACCGGTTCAGCGTTGCGTCAAAAGCGCACTGGACGTTGCTGGCGTGGACGCCGCCGTTGATTGTGGCGCCACCAAACTGTGTGGTCGCGGGGGTCCACTGGGAGAGATTGCAGTTGACGAAATCGTCTCGGAAGAGGGTCATGCTACTGCAGTCGAGCGTCGGGTCCGCCGACGGAAACCAGATCGCGTTGGCGCAGCAGTTCGCCACCGGCACGGTGACGACCAGCGCCGTGCTGGGCAGGAGCCCAGGCACACACGTGATGGCGGTCACAACGACGGCCGCGCCCCCCGCGGGCTTGGCAACCGGAAACGGGCCGTTGTACAATGTCCCACGACTGGTGCAGTCGACGGCTTCCGAGTTGACGGCGTACTTGATGACGCCCGTCGTCGTCCCCGGCGTCAGCGTCACGACGCTCGTGACCATGGCGGTCGTCGAGCACTGCGATGTGAACGTCGGCGGCGCAGCACTCGCGACAACCGGCCCCAGCACGGACGTGGCGCTGTCATTGCACACGGTGGTGACGCAGCAGCTCACGGCGCGCACGAGTTGGCCAGGTCGTAGCGTCACCGATGTGGCATTGGTTGCATCTACAACACATAAGACTCGACTTGGGCCGCAACGTCGGCGTACGCGCAACGGTCAGCGGACACGACGGACGCGTCGTCGTGTCGTTGGCGTCGACGACGACGACGACGAGGCTCGCATCGGTGCTCGTCGTCGTCATCGTGACGGGAAAGAGTGCCGACTCTGAAATGCTCGTGGCATGGACCCACGCGAGTGTCGGTGGCGGCGGCTGGACGACAAATGCCGGCGGTCGGACAACCGTGCTGCCGACGAGACCACGCATGCAAGCGACTGCTTGGAGGACGCCGTTGCTCTTGAGGACCATTGACGTCGTCGTCGCATTGGCCGTCAACACGATCGCATGGCCGAACGTGCAACTCGGCACGTCCGAGCCGTTGCCAAACGTAAAGCGCAGCGTCATATTCGGTCGGGGCATCGTCGCTTGCACGGTGTAGTAGCCCATCGCATCGGTGGCTTTCGTGCTCACGAGGATCGGCGGCAACGCCTGCACGACATACCGTGGAGACCGGTACCCGTAGCTCTGTTGGTTCGGACGGACGCATGTCACCGCGTGGATGATGCTGGTCGTCGTCAAGACGACGGTCGTGGTCGATAGCGGCAAGGCCGTAAAGTCGCAGACAGGGAACGCGTGCGAGCCGTCGCCGATGGTCGTGAGAATGACACTGTCGGTCGCGTTGGCTTGCAGCTGCACCGATATCGCATCGACGCCGACTTGCGCCGGCGTCGTCGCCAATGGTGCCTGCACGCGCCCGCGTAAAACCACGTCGTCAATCGCCCACTGGTCGAAAAGATTGCGGTACTGCCATTGGTACCGCGTGCCTAGTTCCGAGATGAGACGATCGAGTCAAGACTTGTAGAAGGCCACGCACCGCGGATGGAGCCGAGACGACCGCTTGTCTGGTTGGCTTGAATCCACCGAAACGACGACGCATTCGAGCTCGCAGTCGGTGGCAGTGACAAGCGGACTGTCTGACGCGCCGGTGTCGGCGTCGGTGGCACCGGCACCACGGTGATCACATGCCACGCCGTGTCGTTGGCGGCACGGTACTCGACGTTGAAAGGCGAGTTCGGGTTGGTTTGCACGCAGGACAATGTGTTGTTGCCGACGCTGTCGTACGTCTGATTGGGCAGAAAACCGTAGACGTACGTAAACGCGAGCTGCAAGTCAAATCCGAGCACGTCGATCGGTGACGTGGCAGCATACCGTGCGAAGAGATGTGTAAAGTACAGAGCTTTTCCACCCTACCACAAAATATAGACACATTGTGTCTTGTATCAAGTTGATCGTATTTTCAAACCGGCGTGCACGTGTCGCTCACAAACCCTTGCGAAATGTTGGCCCAAATCGATGTCGATGCGTTCGGGACGGCGCCCCACGGCTGAGCGTCGAACGAGTCGTTCCAGATCGCGTTGCCCGTCCAGCTCGGCGCCGTCACGGACGCGACAAACGGCGGTGGCACCACCAACATGTAAGTGGTGTAGAGCACCGATGCCGTCGCCACGTCATAGAACGTCAGCGTGTAGTTGCCAGTGGTATTGCTACTAGCGTCGACGCGCAGCGCAAAGGTCTGGGTCGTGACACTCGAGCAGTTGACGACGCTCGGGGTCATGCGGAAGGTCGCGTTCGCGTCGACGTGGGTGCTGACGTTGAGTGCCATCGACAGCGGCGCGTGCGCGCGAAGCGAGAGATTCGAGAGCGTCTCGCCCTGGAGCAGCGCGGCCGGAAGGAACGGAAAGGTCACGAGACTGCTCGATGGCAGCATATCCGCGCTCTCCACGCGGTACTGGGGCTGCCCCGCGACGCTTACGACTAGACAGAGTCGTTAGCAAGCGAGCAATGTGGCGACTGGGTGGACGCACCAGAAGAGTGCAGGAAGAAGCCAAGGGCCATCGCCAAGCGCCGCAGTCGCTGCGCCATGGTCGCGACGGCCAAAAGTCAAAGGACACACGGTTACACACTCGGCCGCGATCAAAACAACCGGTTGGAGAGTTCCTCCAAGCGACATCACGTCGGTTAGATACAAGGAGGCTTTGCGAGCACGGGATGGATGATGGAAATTCGGGCATGGTGGCGCGATTTGTAACCCCATGGAGCAATGAAAAGGCGCCAAAGCGGGTTCGCTGGGCGGGAAGAAGTGCGTGTTTGATCCGGGCTGTGGCTCTCGTCGGCGTGGCTCTCGTCGGTGGCATGGCTGTCAAGTGCTGTGCACCACACTTGGCTTGCCCGTTGGATACTCTCGACTTTAAATGGGAAACAACTGTGTCATTGGACGGTCACGATGCAAACAAAGCTGATCCGCGGATGCCCAAGGTGACGACAACGCTGATCTCTCGACAAGACGTGCGAGGTAGCAATGATGATTCTGCATCGTCATAAGGAGGTTTCCCTTGCGCGATGTGACGGTGTGCACAAACTTCCTCAAGCCTCGCCGTGTCTTGGCATTTCCAGCAGCATCGCTCCAGGGGGGCATAATAGCTATCGCTTATATTGGTTTTTAGAACGTGAGCCACAATTCGCGATCGATGGGTCATCAAGGGCGACTGATAGATTAAAGCTGCCCAATGCGAATGCAAGGAAGGGAAGGCGGACCACCCTGACGATATCGCGGAGCATGCGTCCGTCGGTCGTGCCACGTTGCCGGGCTCGACGACCGGCCGCTTTGCGGGACCGACCTAAGCCTCTCTTGGCGCTTGCACGACTTGGATTATGCGCGGGTAGTGAGCGAGGGTGCTTTCTTCTTCTTGTATTATTCGCACCATACAGTAATGTACGAGCGTGTGCTACCCGCACATACATGCTCACCGTTGATGGTAATGCGTCTCCATGGATCGAGCGGGTCGTCCGGGTCTGGGGAGGACGGATTGACCGGCCGAGCCGCCGGTGCCATCTCGTCCCATTTGATGAGGCGAATTCCTCGACGCTGGCGATTCATGTCGAATTTGCGGACTATGTTGGGAAATGTCAAAACCCCAGAACTGGATACGTTTGCGTTCAGAGCAGGATCGGTGAGTGCAGTAAAAGTGGTATTATTTTTACTATATACAAGTACGTAGTCGAAGGTCGAAGGTCGTAATAAATTATGCTCATTACTTGGCGGCTTGTTTAGGTAAAACGTTCTCGAGGTGTGCACGCAAAACGACACGCCAAGCAAATCACAAACCAAAGCTCTCATTGTGCATTTTTCCATACACTGCAATGACGTTAAACTGGATGCCACCGCAAAGCCCAATGACGACCGAAGAACTCATTTGGTACACAAGCGTGCTCGACTCGCTATTGTGGTGCTCATGCCAGCTCCGATAGGTTGTGGTTCAGCGCGGCTACCGTCGTGCCGACAACCTCGATTCAATAGGTCTTGGATCTTGCGACGTCTCACATTGCGAGTCTCCCGACCGACACCACTGTTCTGGTCGCCCTGCTCGAGGCGCTCTGCAATCAGGGGCCCTCTTCTCTCCGCACACCCTTCTCGGAGGCACCGCCCCAGAACCCATGTCCACACGAGGCGCTGGACTATGCGATTACGTGCATCTCCGCACTTCCTGTCGAAACGAATGTCGTCTTGAAGATGGCGCTCGACCTCCGCTACACACTGCCCAAGCCGTCCCAATGCACGCGCGCCTAGTCTAGCCCATCGTAACAAAGTATATACAAACATGTTTCGCGTTATCTTCGTTGTTACAAATAGTTAGAGACTAGCAATCTCCTTCTTCATTATTCGCTCGGCAGGCCGTGGCTGCGCAGGCGGCGGCGCGGGGGCTCGTCTTGCTCTTCTGTAGTCGTCCGGGGGCGCTTGTGGCCGCAGGTGAAGCCCATGACGACACGCTGTGCTAAGGTCTTCCAGGCTTTGCCGTCGGCGGCGAAGCTACGCAGTTTTTTGTAGTCATCCAGCGACGCCAGCGACTGAGGCGGCGTCAACGACTAAGCCCAAACTGGTCGCTGCTAGCTGCGTACATGTAGCCACGCCGCATTGCCGGCCTGCGCGATGCTGGACGTTGGTAAGGGGCTCGCTGTGGGTCACTGGGGCCATGACCACTGGACGTGCGGCCACGTCACCATGGGCTTGGCGACGCAGGAGCGTCGGTGAGGCCCAGCAGCAGCCACAGTCAGCGGTCAAGAGTGTGGCCAAGCTCAACCACAACACAAATGGCCATGAAAGATACATGCCGATGGCGTCAAGTAGAGATCGAGGCATTGCTCAGTATGCACCGTGACCTTCGCGCTGCGCGGAGACGCTGCCAGCAACTCGAATCTCTCTTGGATCCTGGTCCGCTCTCCGATTGGCCAAAATCGTTTTCCTTTTTCCCGTATCCGGAGGCCAGCACCCATTCTCTTTCCCAAGACCATGTCGAGCAAGTGGGTCAACGTCGACTTCTCGGCCGACCACGCGCCGAGCCATGGACCATCCACGAGCGTCCGGTCGCAGGGGCGCAGCAGCGAGGCCGAGGCCATTGCGATCGAGGTCGGCGAGCCCGTCAAGATGGGCGACGGCATGCAGGCGTACATCTCGTACAAGATCTCGACCACGACCGACCGGCGGCAGTTCCAGAAGGGCCAGTTTAGCGTCGTGCGCCGCTTCTCGGACTTTGTGTGGCTGCACGCGTCGCTCTGCAGCCTCTTTCCCGGCGTGATCGTGCCGCCGCTGCCCGAGAAGCTGCTCGTCGGCCGCTTCTCGCCCGAGTTTATCGAAGCCCGTCGCCGCGCGCTGCACCTCTTCTTGCGGCGCTGCGCCGTGCACCCCGAGATCCAGCATTCCGAGTACCTCACGGTCTTCCTCGAAGCGTCCGACGAGAGCCTCTCGGCGTTCAAGCACGACGTGCTCGCCAAGAGCAAGGGCAAGTCGTCCAGCGGTGGCGGGCTCTTCCAGTGGTTTGACGACACGATCGTGGCCACGATCTCAAGTACGCTCGGCGCGCAGAGCATCGCCGTCGAGAAGCTCAAGACAACGACCGATATCCAAGTCGAGGACATGGTCGCCTACATGGACGCGCTCGAGCCCATCATCCAGAGCCTCGCCAAGCACGCGCATGGCCTCACGAAGCGCGCCCGCGAGATTGCCGACGGTCTCTTTGAGTTTGGCGTCGCGCTGACGCTCCTCGGGCAAGCCGAAGAGAACGAGTCGCTCCAAACCGCGCTCTGCCACGTCGGCACGTGCTCGGACAAGCTCTCGGTGCTGGCCGCCGAACACGTACGCACCGCTATAAGACCCGCCTAAGTCCATATTTTGGATTGGTAGGCGGAGAAAGAAGTGCTACTGTTTGAAGAGCCGATCCACGACTACATTCGACTCGTGCAAGCGGTCAAGGCGGCGCTCGTCAAGCGCAATGAGGTTCGCAGCCTGTACCACGGCGCCGTATTGGACCTCGAGGCCAAGCAGACGGCGCTCCAAAAGGCACAAGCCAAGGGCGGGGACAAGGTTGACGCCGCGGCCAACGATGTGACCGAGGTATCACCTTGATACGGTCTTGATACTGGCGAAACGATCGATATCATAGGCCAAGCGGCGCGTGGATGCATCCAAGCTCGAGCACGACGTCGTGACCGAGCGCGTCCTTCGCGAGGTCGTGCCGATCCACTACGATTGTGATTTCTTATGCTCTGTAGGTCGATCGCTTCAAGCAGGAAAAGCTCAGCGACTTTAAGCGCATCGTCCTCGACTACATCCAGCTCCAGATTGCGTACAACCGCAAGGTGGAAGACGAGTGGGGCGCAGTGATCCCCAAGCTGCAGATGATCCAGATCGAGTCGCCGGGAAAACCGTCGTCGGGCGCACCCATGCCGCCGCCACCGCCGCCCGTGGCGTTCAAAGCACCATCGTCAACGACCGATGTCGCCTTGTAAGACAAAAAAGCAAAAACGTATCCTGGTTGAATGACAGTGTACTCTCATACCCCGTGCCACGACCGACGCGGTGCCCACGGCCGCGGCAGTCCCAGCAGATGGCGATCTTCGCCGTCGTCGTCGTCGTCCATGAAATGGAAGGGATGTCGAAGTGGCGCGGGTGCTTCGGGGCAAGGCGCCGGGAGGTAGTAGGGGAGCCGCGGCAGCCGCAGTGACGGCCGTGCGTCGTCGTGCCAGATGTCATTCGGTCGACCAAAAAAGTCGGTGAGATGCATCGAGCGCATGCGGGCGAGCACTCTAGCCGGTGGTCATCACGGAGGAGGAAGATCAAGCATCTACCTCGAGCGTCGGATGTAGACGGCCTTGGTGTCGTCGCCTTCATGCCACACCTGAAAGTCTACACCATTTCCATGAGTTCAATTCTCCAGGAAGCTCACGTACCATGCAGGAGGAGCATCGCCCACACACGCGGCTTGCACGTGCTTTTGTACAGGACCTAGACACGAAATGATGCGTGGACGCTTGGTGTACGGGCGTACGCGACACGTGGCGGCGGCGCGGGCCACGTCGGGCGCGGCCAAGAAGCCGACGATGCCATCGAGAAGGTGCTCGGGCAAGCTGTCGAGGAGCGCTTGGGCGGTCGCCGCATGGCGCTGCAAGATGGATTTCTCGACGCGCCAGCGCACGTACTCGGCGTACTGCGCGTACAACGCGGGGCGTGCCGGGATGTACGACGCCAGCGCAAAGTCGACGCGCCACGTCTCGCCGTCGCAGAGCACGTGGAGAAGATACCGTTGGCCGAGCACGAGGCCGCGCAGGACGAGCGGCGCCGCGCTGTCGTCGTCGACGT